CTTTTAGAAGGTCAGTATCATTTAAGGTTATTGAAAGTGAGGAAACCTGTTCCACCTTTATAAGGAAAACATTGCTGTGGAGTTTTTAGGGGCCACACGGTTATAATGAATAACTAATGCATGGTACTTCGTGTAGTCTTTAGCTCAGCCTGGGAAAGAGAAAATAATGGAAGTCTCTTCTTTCTGCCTGCATGTTCAAACGAAGGAAAATCAAAGCTGTTATACCAGAGCTATATATCAGCTAACGTATTTTAGGAACTGTGGAATGATCATAATTACAAAAAAGTCCTCCAGAGAGAAATTATGACTCATAGTTTATGTTCTCTTTAGTGTTGCTATGGAAAAAGAGGTTAGTGCCAATGGTCATACAGCAATATTAATCTCTGATCTGAAGGAAAAATAAATAACAATCTCTAGCTTAACCCAAAGCAGATTTATTCTCAGTTACTGCAGCACACTCCATTAAAGGGGATAACCATGTAAGAAAAATTAAAGATGACATTGATTATCAGTTCTCAACATGCAGTTAGAGGGAGTTCCTTATTTGAATTAGTGTGCACTTCAGACTCCCGCAAATAACTTGGTGGAGTGAGAGGAAGGGGAAAAAAGGCATTTTGATCAAAAGGAGGGCAGGAAAGATCACCCACCACCAACAGCTGCAAGTATGCTGATTAAAATTTTCTTTATGCATGCAGTTAGACTCAGCCTAGGGTTGATGCTGGTTCAAATGCAGATCCTGAAACAAAACCCTGGCAACGGATAGTTTAAAGTGGTGGAAAGTGGCTATCAGCCTTTTTCCATTTATTTGGGAAAGCAAGGGCCATGAGTCAGAGTGGTGGATACTTACGTGCTGAGTCAGCACCCTCCGGGCTGCTCTGGTAGTTGTTTAGTTGCCTAGGCAAAACCCTAAGCAGGACTGGGGCCAAACAGCTGCATGCTTGCTTTGCTCTAGTGGTGAATCTTTTTCTTGGCATGCAGGAAGACTACCTGACACCTTCCTCTTGACACCCACAGTGAGTATGTGTGTCTTAGTGGGTCACAGTAAAACTTTTCTACCTGTGTACTTGACTTTGTTTTCAGGAGCTGGAGCTACTCTAGCTCCATAGTATGCAGTTACTGACAGCAAAGACCTTGCAGTCAGAACTTAGCTTGAAATTTTGCTCACAATGCACCCTGCAAAGCAGGCTATAGCCTTTCTTTCTGCCACACTGTTGCATCTGCAGTGCTGATGGCAGTAAAACTTTTTATTCCACTGATGAGCTAAGCAGATTGGATTAGGGAGATACACAGGTCTCATATCCTGCATCTATGCACACAGCTCTTACTGATGGTCACAGGAGCTGTACATGTGGTCCAAAAACATTGTACTGCTCAGAGTCCTTTGAGCCAGCTGAAGGCTTTTCACTGACTTTTAGGGTTGGACTGGCCCTTTGGGGAACAGTTTGTCCTCTAACAAATTGCCATTACTTCACTAGTTCTTCTGAGTTTACCTCTTTAACTGCGTGACTATCAATCATCAGTTGCATAACTGGCATTACAGCCTGTAACAACAAATGGTTTTCACTGCATCGGTGTAAAGGGCATACAGGTATATTTTACCTTCTGATCTTCTTCCCTTTCTTCTGTCTCTTTAATCATCAAACATGCTTCAGTCTGGTCTGTGTGAGGGCTTTCACTGCACTCTTATTTGACAGTGAAATGGTCCAGAAAGCCCATATCTGTGCCTTTTCACAGAGGAGATGGCTCATGGATTAGCACAAGGGGGTCAACAGGATGCTCTTTGCCCTTTCCCCTAAAAGTGGACAGAAATGTCAGCTGGTTTTCGGGCATTGAAAATGGAAGTATCAGCAGCCACTCGGTGCTGCTAGTTTAAATATTTATACCACAAGGACTTTATCACACCCTCTTTCTTTGTGCAAAGCTCCCACCAGTTTCAGTAGAGGTCAAACTCTGAATCGGTGCAGCAGTTAACAAGTCAGGTCTTCCAAGGAGTAAAGGTACAAGTGGAGCTCACAGGCAGGTGCTGTACCCATGTTATTGTGTCAAGAAGGGTAAACAAGCAGTTTTTTAAAAACGCAATTCTGTAGACAAACCTGTCAGCACAATCATGGAATACTGGTGCATATGCTTGACATCTGCCAGCCTGACAAGATCCAGGCACATACTTCAGATACTTGAAAGAATACAGTGCTGCTGGTGCTGCAGCCTGTCTCCTCCCTGAACCAGTAGGTCTTGCAGACTAATGTTTTTAGTCAGGACTAATGTTTTTAGTCAGGATTCGAAAATGGAAGGAGAGGAAAAGAAACGGCTTGGGGGACATCTCGGGATCATGAGATTGCTTCTTCCTCTGGTCTATAAGATGGCACAAAAGCAGACATTCATGAGTTGAGTAAACATTTTTCTCTCTTGCAAAGCATGCTTTCTTATGTTTGTAAGGATTACAGGCCCGCTTGTCCTTGTAAATGTGCGATCGTGATGGAGCAAACGTTTAATTCTAGTCCTGCAACTGATGGCTGTGTGTGTAGTTTATTCTGAAGTGGGTATTTGAATTGATTCTCCCAGATGCTCAGTATCTGCATTTCCAATGGTTTTACTGGATAGCATTGTAATGCTCTTAAAACACTGTGCATGGGATTCATTTCAGCATCTCTAAAACTGGATAAAGCGTGACCAGGGGTATTGTTTGAATTAAAGCTTAGGAGGACAAACAAACCAGGCATATCTGAAAGCGAAATGTAAACATGATGCTGGGGTTCCTGGTTAGCGCTTGGTGGCTGCGGGAAGCTGACAGCTGTTACATAAAGGTTAAACATGCATTCTTTGGTCTGTCAGTAAAATTAAGCCTGCTAAAGACTATGTGGCACTCCAAAAGACATGAGTTTATCTGTGTGCATAAACAGAATATACACTTCAATATAAATATGCTTTCAGGACTATTTAAAGTATTAGAAGTATGCTGCAGTCCAATAAAAAATGCAGATGAAGCTAGCAGATTTTGGAAAGGGCCTGACTACATACAGATGGGCTAGAGATCTGGTGAGTGTCTGGAAGGCAAAGCAATGGTGTTTGCATTGCTAAATAACAGCTGAGGATGAGAAAGAAAATGGTATAGGTACAATGGGTACATCAATTGAAGTAATAAATGCTTGACCTTTAAATTTCATCTTTGCCAACTTCTCAGACTGCTTCTCCCAAAGACTGACATGGTTGTGTTTTATGTTATGCTTTTATTTGTCATATTTGTAGTTAGTTACAAGTAAAAATGATTGAAATCGATTGTAGTTAATACAAAATAAAAATATAGCTGCACAAGTTATGCCATGATTTTTCTTACAAAGAGTATCTCCTATATGATACCGTACACTTAAGAGCTTAACTCTTAATAGTACATGCCTACACTAAGCTCTTATCAACTAACTTCCAGTGCGATTTACTGGTTGCAGATGTTTCCCCTGTGGAGTAATACCTGTTAATCATTTCATAATGCTATTTTTCCTGTAGTTTTTATTTCCCCTGTAATTTGTGATTCTAAATACAAGTTGAAGGAAGCAACCTTTTAGTGCAATGTTAAGTATCAGTAGAATTTTATATATATATAAAAAATAAAAATAACCCACTGCATAAACAAACAAGGATGTAAGGTAACTGTTGTGGGTATTGTGCTTCCCTTTCCCCCTTACCTTTGTTAAATGACAGGAATGAACATTCATAGTGAACAAACTACCCTGTAACCTCTCCTTTTCAATTAATTTTGAAAAATTACAGACTTGTAATTTTGAAAGGAGGTAGGTGGCTTTGATGAAAGTTACTAGCAGAGAATCAAATCCTGTGGCTCTGCAGACTCATCCTTACGTAAACTCATCCCTGCCATGAAGTTCAATCCATAACACGTTGTTCCCTTTAGACCTGCCAAAAAGAGTATTTCACCTTTTTGAAAAAATTGTCCTTACATCCCTGTAATTATCTAACTTTTCTGTGTAGATATAGCTCTATAAACGAAATAATTTGTAAAAAGATAAATTATGCTATTTTCAAAATACTCTGAGATACAAAGTTGTGCAAGTGCAAAGTTTGATAGTATATTGCTATAAAGACTAAGAATTAATTAGTGTTATCTGAGTATATATTCTTTAAGCTGGGAGTATAGATTTAATATTGTAGGGTTTTATTTTTGCTTTTTTTATATGTCATACTTTCTTCAGACTATCTCCATGTTTCTATCAAATTCCTTCTATTTTTTTTCTTTTCAATTTCTGATCCCTTAAAGGTACAGTAACTGATCACACCTTCATGCTTGTCACTAATGTACCTCCATAACTCCGGTAGATTGAAAAACATCTTTTCATTTCCACCTAAGTACAGTAATTTCTTCTAAGTAAATAGCGAGAGACTACTGGCAAAAATCTTTCCCCCACTAAAATGGATGGAACCAACTTTTCAGCGTCGCCCTCTAAGTACTCTGCTCTTTTAGTCTTACAGCGTTATGGAGCAAAGCCCCAAACAAACTATACGTGTATGCACAGTTACCGAGGCTGTTGGCATTCACGTAGCATAGCAAGGAAACTGAAATCAAATGTTCTCATTGGTACTTCTACATTTACATACAAAACTACCCACAGTGCTGTGAAATACTGAGAGAAGAAAACAGAACAGAAACGTTTGGTTTTTGACTACTCTCCATGCATTCCTCTTACCTAACTATAAGAAAGCCAGCTGACCAGCTTGCTTCTACTCGACATACTTTTTTCCTGCTAGTCTCTTCTGCCAGCTGACAGCATCTCTAAATTAACAAACACCAATGACTCGGCCTAAAACGGAGCATATTGCAGCCTGTGTCATTGACCTTGTTCACTCTGCATTCTAACACGATGCAATAAATTACCACTGCAGAGAAAAGGATGGAAGAAATTGAATCGCTACTACTGCCTGTGTAGCAGAAACCAGTTATTCGCCTAAGTAAAACCATGAGTATCTGGAAGGCAAAGGAAGGCTCGGGTTGATTATGCTGTTTGGTCTATCTGCAGGACAGCTGCTTGGGCTGTTTCTTCATCAGATTGTTCCATTTCCCTGCCGACTGGGTTGTTCCTTTCATCATACAGTTTCTGGCTAGAAACTTCTAGAGGCATTCCATACTCCTCATCATCTTCAACAATGGACAGCTCAATGTTGTTGTTCATGGCGTTCCCTTCCATTCTGGCTTCCTTCTCTAGAGAATCGGCTACTGCTTTGCCTTCCTCGGTCAGCGAGGTGGTAGGTGTCATATCTGAGTGCATGTCGGCGAATGACATTTCATCCTCATTCTCAGCTTGGTCGTTGCTTGTGGTTTCTGTTGGCCTGTCCTCAGCTTCAGCAGGGCTTTCTCCTTCACGGACTTTCTTCACATTGAACGTGAGGGGAGATACTTTGAAAGCTGGACTCTTTGAAGAAGAGGATTTCTGATGATGTACAGTAAGCGATTTCTTGATCTTTTCTCTCCGTTCGGGTGAGACAATCTTTGTGCTGATCTTGTTCATCTTCTTCTCGATGTTTTGGCGGGAAAATGCTTTCTTGAGGCTGTCTACCTTCTTGAGGCTGGATCTTTTGATTTTCTCAGCTCTTGATTCTTCTGTTTTCTCCTCTGCACTGTCATCCACATCATCATCTTCGTGAAACATTTCATCATCTGAACCCAACTCCACTGTGTGCAAGGTTTCTTCCAGTGTTTTGTTCTCATCCACAGATTCCTCTTTTCCTTCTGTAATGCTGGGAATAGGCTCTTTTGCAAAAACACTGGCAGGGATCTCATTTTCCTCCTGAAAGAATTGACAATATTTGAGTTTCATAGTTCACAGGATGCAAATTTAATAAAGCACAACCCTGAACCATTACTATCCCCCCGCCCCATGATGAGATGAAGAAAGCTGAATGTTTCTTGTTGTTTCAGTATATTTAACTAGTAACAAGCCACTCAAAGCCCACTGAACCATTATCTGGTAAAGTTTAAGGCTAATGAGCTGTCAGCTGTAAGATTTCTCTTTCAGAGTGACTTGGAATGTATACAGAATGGAAATCCCGTTCTTTGTCATTTAAATTAGATACTTTTTAATACGAGTTTAGCTCTAAAGTTGTATGCCTATCCCTGGGGAGAAGGGATGGTATGGTGGCTAAGGAGGTTGTACTACAGACCCCTGTGTAGACCTACAGAAGTCACGTAACACCCCAGAGCTTTCAGTTTCTCTAGCCAAAGACTGGGAATATCTCTGCAGAGATGTTGGTTGCATCTGAGAGGTATTTTAGGTGGCAAATGCAGTTAGCACTTTCACCGTGTTTCAGAAAAATGTATGTTACTGTTAAAAAGGGATTGTTGATACTGAGAAGCCATGCAGTCCATGAGTATGTGCTATTTTACAGCTATTTACAGAAAAAAAGTTGGTAAATTTGGTTGGTGAATTGATAAATATTAAAAATATGGACAGGACAACTCCTTGAAAAGTAAAAAAAAAAGTTTAGGGTATGCAAAAATAAACAGACATTTTACCACACAGAAAACACTAGTAGTCACTTCTAGCTAAGAGGAAAATGATTGCTTTTTAGAAACAAAACCAAGAAAGGGCATGGAAGGAAAGAAGGTATCTGAAAACAAACCAGGCTGAACAAGGGTAGAAGCTGCAATTCGTAACGAAGGACCTCTGTGACTACTGAGCACAGCAGCTCTGCAACCCCGAGCAGTTCAAAGGCAGCACAATGAACGCTCTGTTCTGCGGTAGGTTTTGCAGGCATCTGCCCATGCAAAGAAAACGAGGCTCCTTGCACATTCCCTTTTCCTTTCAGAATTGTTATGCCTTAGATCTGCATAGTCTCTATTCATTACATTTTTTATCACTTTCGGACAGAGTGCATGCGATATCATTTAGTCATATGGATTGGAGGGATTCCCCCAGCCCCATTTGTCTTTAGATACGAAAAGCAGTAAGTGCTGAGTGAAATGGTTGTAATAGTCTCAGATCTGTCCCTGGCAGGGCTGGAGTGTACAATTAAGGGGAAAAAGAGGCCACATACACTTCAAAGTTCATGCTCATTATTTCAGGACTGAGCATACAGTTGTTGATCACTGGAGAGAATAGTGTCTTGGGTTAAATTTGCTGTTGAGTCTGTACAAAGACGTTGTACATGGTTGTTTTTAAAAACAAAATAGTTCTGACTACCTTGTAGCACTTCTGAACTCAAGAATATATGCACATGGACAGGCAGAATCATTTTATACCATATATACACAGCATATAATCATATATGCTGTGATTCAAGTGTGTTGATGAATATCCCTCATGGATATAAAAATGAAAAGTATCAAAAAAATGGATGGCGGTTTGACAGTTCGTATGTGCTTTACTTCTACGGTTTCTGCACACCTTTCTGGACCAGCAGCCTCGGTTGGATACACTGGCACAGAACAAGCTTTCCAAGCCCTTAGCCTGCAGTGGAACATGTAATGAAGCCAGCGCTCTTCTCCAGACACCTATTATGTTGTTGCAACTATCAGCAACAGTGACCAAGATAACAAAACAAAGAAAACCTGCACCAGCTTTAAGTGAAAACAGCTGTAACTGCAGTACAAATATTTATATTTTCTCTCCACTGCAGTTAACGAAATGTGGATTACATGAGTGGGTGCAGTGTTAAATTATTCCCCAGAGCATGAGAACTCAGTATAAAGCATAATTTACATGTCTTGTGCATTCTTTCCAAACCTAGGTAATTGCATACAGTTTTAAACATCTGAACATTCAGGTGTAAGTGCCTGAATGGCACAGAAAACTCTGATTTTAATGAGTAAAGATGGGTTGTAACTTTTGAAGTATTTAATCTAGGAAAGTGGTGTCATATGAGATTGATCACAGTGCAGTCTGAGCCAGAGATGGGCCTGTGTGACTCTTCTCAAGGTCAGTTTAGCTTTGTGTCTACAGTGTTCACATTAAACTGAAGTACTGCATGCAGGCTCTAGAAGAATATGGACACAGATTTTATTTCAATTTTTATCAAATTTGTGACTGAGTAGAAGGGAGACTGTCAAACTCTCCATATTTATAAAGGAAAAAAAACCCAATCAAAAATATACTACATAATAATGAGCTAATGATTGAATTAAAAGGAGATCCTAGGTTGTCTTTGGCTATCAGGCAGTACGGGCATCCAAGAAATCACCTCTCTCTAAGCTTCCTGCATGGCCCTGGAAAACATCAGCCTCTGGGCATCTATTACTGTGCTTGTAAAATGGGAATGACATGCTTTCCTATCTCATGTTTCTAAAAGGCCTTAGGATCACAGGAACTATTAAAATGCAAATGAAAATAAATTAAGTAAATTGCTTTGGAAATACAAAGGTGGTGTAGTAGGAATGCTCTGTGGTGGAACAGACATTTCTATTTCAAATACAGTTACTGATAACATGTTTTAAGTGGGCTATTGGTAACTTTTTGGTCTAACAAGTTTATATGACAGCTATATTTTGTTGTGATACATTTTTCAAGCAGTCTGGTATTTCATTTAAGACGACTAGAACAATACACTGAAAAATGCCAACTGTTACAAACTGTATAACTATTTTCCGTACCAAAAAAAGTAGAACTTTGATCTTTTCTTCTTGATCTACTCCAAAATTCTGAGAAAGCAATACATGTTTTTATTTTCCACATCCAAGTTCAAAAACAGCGCTTGCATTTTCTCAGATGAGCTTGACTGTAGGTAGCTAGCTCCTCTGAATTTATTTTTCCATGTGGGAGTCGAATAGAACAGTGCAAGTTCTCTGTGTAAAACAACTCCTGTTAATACTAGCAATACTTGCAAAGTTAAAACCAGTGCCTTCCCTATGGCTATGATCAGCCATTCTCGGGAACTTTCTATGGGTCATAATCTCATCCCTATCTTCTACCAGAAAGGCAGATAACATCCATAAAGCTGTACTACGAAATGGGACAGCCTGAGTGAACAGGTAGTTAATTTACTCAGGAGTGCTGAATCTCTGATGCCGCGTAAGGGAAATCACTGTGCTTTGGTTTGCATTTTTGTTAGGTTTGTTTTAAGAGGCCATAGCCTTCAGGAAGGGGAGATGGCATTTTGTCATGCTTACGACAGTCCAGGCTCCTCTGTACTTTGTAGATGCTGTTATATGCCTAAATGATTACTAGTCTAAAACTTGTTTTCCTACACAAAATAGGTCGAAAGATGACAAATCCTTCTAAAAACAGCTACAGCTCCACCTACTTTCCTTTGGACAAACACATGCTCTTCAGCCCTGGATGTCACCACAGGGAGGGAGGAGGGCAGGCAGCAGGCTGGGACTGCAGGCAAGGAGGAGGAAATTGCCAGCCGCCGGTTTGCAGGTCCTGTGCAGGCTGGGGTGCTGGCTGCACCGGCCCCCTGACCTCCCACAGCACAGCTGGGTTAAGTCCTAAGAGCCATGCGAGGTATTTTTGTCATTCATCAATACAAGAGTATTCTCCCTGCAAGGCTCCAGTGGGAAATTTAGTAGTTAGATAATAGCATTATTGGCTTGTAATTCTTCTGTTTCCCTCACTTGTTCATTTTTGAGTTTGAAGTTGCTTTTTCAAAAGATTATTACAGTGACCCAAACAACAAGATACACTCACATGGCTAATTTCCTGTGCCCTCCTCTTGATTCATTTCAGGATGGAGCATTTACCAAAAGCAGCATCTGAAAGGGGCTTGAATATCAGTGTGCTTGACCCCAAGCTGTAATTTTGACTTATCTGTCCTATTCACTAGTTAAATGTGACTTTTAATTGAAAAATTAAACATGAGCCTTTTTCATCTTGCATTTTGCTTTTGCAGCTAAAAAAGCAAAGAAAAACCCCACCAAACCAGAACCAAAAAGCTGGTCATGTGGTGAGAACAAAACAGAGGGGAACAATGCCAAAGCTTAACAAGGATTTTTAAAACAGTCACTTCAGTGTTTTGCTAAATTGCTGTGTCACTTGTGGCATTTGTAATAACTTCGGCATCCTCAAATGCTTGGAATTGGAGGTCCATTAAAATATGTCACCAATTAGAGAAATATATGCAAACCAGGAACAATGCAGACAGTCTAGGGAGAGAAAACTAAGAGCATTTTAATGGAAAATATGTAAATAGCTGAACTTTTCTAAACACAGTTCATTCTCAGCATGTACGCTGAGGGAAGGCTGATGCTGGCGGGCGGCAGCACAGTTTCATAAAATGCAGAGCTGGAGCTCAGTTGTGTGTTTTGGCTATGCTCAGTGCTCCCACCAAATATCAGGGAGTTTGAGGTATACGGTGAATGCAGAACTGAATCACAAATGTGTATGTTTATTTTTATACCGAGCTGTCTTCCTAAGCTGGAAAAGCAGGTCCTAACAGGAAACGTGCTGTGTGAAGTTTGGGATTGGGTTTTTTTCAGTGGAAAAGAAGAATCCTCCAACTGAAGTGTCATACATCCAGATTTCCCTTTTGTTTTTACAGAAATCTGGCATCAATATGCCTTCATTGCTGCAACTTCTCCTTCCTGTAATTGTTTTTGCATGGATTCCTGCTCGGGGCAGGACAGAAACCCAGCCAGCCTTCTGCTCTTTTCCCTCTGTACAACTATCGTAGCAAGGCGGTGGCCCTGCAGGCTGCCAAGTCATCCCACCTCCACCTTGTAAGGAGACCCCGTGGGGAGATTTCCAGGAGGTGGGCACCCAGGTAAGGCGCCTGCCCAGCCTGGCAGCAGGCATATGGGCACGCCTCGTGAGCACCTGCCATCCCTCTGGGTGCAGCCGCTTCCCCAGTGGAAAATCCCAGCTCCTCCCAGGATGCAGCGGAGAAGGGCCAGGGCGCTGCCTGCCTCAGCCACCCTCCCACATCCCGGGAAGCTCTGCCGGCCACCTTGGTTTTCCAGGCAGCCACGCTGCCTTTTAGCAACAGGCCTCTGCCAGGAGCCATTCCCAGTTGACAGCTGAATTTTTTTTTTTTTTTAACTGAATTTAACTGCAGTGTTTCTTTTCTAAGGCTTGTGTTCTGATCTGCGTCAGCTTGGGATTGGTTAAGTTCATCTCCCCACCACCACGGCAACATATTTTCCAGTGAGAGATGGGAACACAGTCAGCTAAATCCTTGTAAAAGCAACGAAGAACAGACCTCCTGTCCAAAGGTACCACCCTGGTGACGGGTGGTGGAGCAGCTGTGAATTTTCTTTAGCTGTTGTTCTGGGACACAGACCTGTGTTGTTTACTTTGGGTTTGTGCACTTTAGGACCCAGTATTAAAGAAAGGCTCAGAGGTTTAAATAGGCCTTAGCTTTGCAATACTATTTAGTATCGGGAAACAAGCCAAGCCAGCCCTCCCCTGGCAGGACACTGCTTTATCCTTCAAACCCGAGTTTTATCAGTACTTTTACCCAGTGCCTGCAAATCACTGCCCCTAGGCAGGAGTGACAGGGATCCCTAGCTGAGGCAACTGTACTGCTCCCACACAGTTGTGCTTTTGTCTTTGGTCTACATGCTATGTCTCCTTACAGTGCTAAAATTTGGGTTCTCTGGAGGAAAATTCTGTAGCTGCAGTAGCAAGGCCTTAATTCTCATGCTCGCAGTTAGCAGAAATGCCACAAAATTACCTTCCCACAGGCCATGCTGGTGCACCCTCTCCACGGGAAACATTCAAGGTCTAGGTCTGAGCCTGGAGGTGGGAGCCAGTCCTTAGCTAACGCAGCCTGGGAGATGGCAAAGTTTTGACTTACAGTAATGGATCTTAAATTACTTGGAGAAGTCCAGAGAACATGTGTCTTTTTAATTTACCCAGTCCCTGCAATAATTTCCACATTCTTTCTAGGGTGGAAACCACCACACTCGGTACGTGCCACAGCTCCTCCTCTTCTGGCTTGACAAGCCTGGATGGTAATTTGGGAGAACAATAAGCAGGGAGGTGGGGGCTTCCTTTCTGGGGGAAGCGCCTGTGCACTAACCAGGCCTGCCAGCTTTTAAAATGAACTTCTGCTCTGTTGTTTTGGGTTTGTTTAAATAGAAAAAAACCCCAGCAACCCAAGGAGTAGAGTTAGCTACTGACAGATGTAACACGCAGCTGACAAGTTTAGCCTGAGGAGCTGGTGATGTGCCTGACCTGTGGCAGGCTCTCCTTCCTTCTCCCAATGTGTTGTGGAGGTCTGTCTTTTTTTTTTTTTTTAAAAAAGATTTAAAAGTCACGTCCTGTGTTTAGTTAAAGCTCACACTGTGTTCAGTCCAGATCATTGCTTAAAAAGGGGAAAATATGCAAACTGCTGCTATCACTGGATGGACTCCCAGGAAGCTGAGTTTTTAGCTGAATTTTTAGGTCATCCCCGAAGAGGCCAGAACAGCCTGAGGAGCGAAGCGTGAGGCTGAGTGTGACAGGGAGCTGCAGCGCTGCCCCTCTCCTGCTTCTGAGGGCAGATGCAAGGGCGGGTTTTAGGGGCGCTGCTAAGAGTTGCAAAATGGGCTCTTTTCTCAAGTTTGCTTGAGTTTGCTAAAAACCAAAGGGCCCTTTCTTCAAGCTTGCTTAAAAAAACCCCAAACCACAACAAAACACATATGCTAAGAGGTAGTAAAAGGTGACTCTTTCCCCAAGTTTGCTGAGACTTAGCAAAACAAGGTCTTTTTCCTCAGGTTTGCTACGAGTTAGTAGAAGACAGCTCTTTCTCCAAGTTTGCCAAAAGTAAAAGAGGGCTCCTTCCCCACGGTTTGCTAAAAGTTAGCAGAAAAAGGGTGCTTTCCCCATGTCTGCTGAAAGTTGGCAAAAAAGTAAGGGGTGGTTTGCCCAGAGTTAGCGGAAAAGAGCTCTTTCCCCAGGTTCGCTAGGAGCTAGCAAAACAGGCGCTTTCCCCAAGTTTGCTAAGAGTAAAAGCGGGCGTTTCTCCTAAATTTGCTAAGAATAAGAGAGAGCTCTCTCCCCAAGTTTGCTAAGTTAGCGAAAAAGCCTGCTCTTTCCCCGCCTCTGCTGAGATTGAAAGGTTTTCCTCCTAACTTCTTGAAGTTCGCGAACAGGGCGCCTTTTTTCCAAGTTTGCCGAGAGTCGGCGGTAGCTCGGCTCCGTCCCCGATTTTGCTAGGAGTTAGCAGAAACGGGCTCTCCCCCCGTGTCCGGGGGGAAGGCGCAGGACGCGGTGGGTGGGGGGGGGGCGCGGGGTGGTCGCGTGGGCCTCTCACCTGGAAGATGAGCACCTTGAAGCGGTCCCGCCGGAGCAGCTGCGCGTGATGCTGCTCCAGGCGTCGCACCTGGTCGCATTGCCTCTCCAGCCGCTCCCGCACGGCGCGGGTGTGGGCGCACACCTTCCGCGACTTCTCCAGCAGCTTCTCCACCGCTTCCCCCGTCGCCCCGTGGCTGCGGCACAGTTTCCCCAGGTCTCCCTGAATACCCCTCACCGCCCCTTCCAAACCCCGCTGCCTTTGCTCCATCTGCCTCTGTTGCCCTTCCACCGCCTCCAGCATCGAGACCAGTTTCTCCAGTAAGGCCAGGACGGTCAGGGCGTTCACCTGCCCCCCCGTCGCCTCCGACGACGGCGGGAGCGGAGGCACCGCGCTACCTCCCGCCGCCTCCCCCATCGCTGCGCCGGGACGGGGATGGCGGCTGCCGGCGCCGCTCTTAAGGGCTGAGCCTTCGCCCTCCCCCGGGGAGGTTTCGGGCAGAGCCCGGCCCCGCTCCCGGCCCCGTTCCCGGCCCGCCCGGGGCGGGCCGGGAGCGGGGCCGGGCCCCCGGTGCCGTCACCCCCCTTTTTTAAAAGGCAAGGGGGGTGTTCTCGCCCCACACTTGGCGAAATGCAGGAGTCGCCTCCCCGGCAGCATCAGTAGATGGCAGGAGATACCGCGGAATGCGGTCGGGGGTGGGAGAGGAGGGAGGGAGGGGGAAACAAAAATATCGGCGGCTGCTCTGGAGAAAGGCTTGGGGAAAAGGGGGGAAGAGTGGTCCGGGAGGGTTTGTGGGTGTAGGCTGGAGTTTAAAGCCTGTCGTGTAATCTGAAGGAGTTACGCTCATAGGAAGAAAGTAAATAAAATTAAATTGCTGCTATCATCAGCGTAACAATTAGTGTATTAATGTGCTGTAGCGAGAGAGAATAATATTGGTACAGTTATTCTTATATAATATCAATATAATTATCTATAGTAACTGTCGTCATAATTAACATACTTACGATATATTAATACGTGGTGAATCGAAGCTCCTGGCACTCCTTCCACCAAGCAAGCACCCCGTGCAAGACCGGACTTTTTAAAATAATAATCTAAATCGTCCTCCTCCTCCTTCTTTTTCTTCTTCTGCTTTTTAATAATAATTTAGATTATTATTCTATTCTACTTTATTCCATATTATTCTAATTCTCATTTTCATTATTAAAAGAAAAACCAAACCAGTCTGGTGTTGCATGGGGTGCTTGCTTGGCGGAAGCAGTGCCAGGAGATTGGGTTCACCACCCACGATGTGGAGATTAGCTGGGCGCTCTGGTTGCCCTGACTGGATTCTCCAGCATCTCTTTGGTAAAAAATCGTAGGGTTAGAACAGCTGTTTTGGGGGAATAGCGATAAACTGGGTGCGGTAGCAGAGGGACAGTGTTTTCAGGCTTTTGCAAAGCACCAAAAGGAGCTACTTGGCATGAAGAAATACCAAGCTGTTTATTTAGAATAATACATAACTGTTCCCAAGTCTGATCCAAAGCTGTTATCGTCAGGGAAAATACTACAAAGTTTTGTGGACTTGGGTTGCTCATCCGTAGACTGACATTCTGAAGCACAGCCAATTTCTTTTTATCTTCTGTTCTTGACATTTGCCTGGTAACAGGACTTCTTGCTGCAACGCAGATGTTTCTAATACTTGGGTATATAGAATTCCAGTACTTGGGTAGCTGAAATGTAATATTTTCTAGTACTTGGGTATATATAATTCCTCCATGATTTTCCTGCATCCTGTAGGCTAAAAACATCTATTTGGAGTCCAAATGGCCGTGATCCTCACCCTTTTTTTTGTACACAGAAACCAAAATATTTTAATCATTTTACCATGAAGAGGAATAAAAATTAATGACTTAAGAGTAATGCAAATGAGTTAGCCATTTCAATGACTGTGTGTTCGAGCCCCTGAATGTTCTGCAACGTTACTGTTAGTATCTGTTTTCTTGGTCCTTGCTTTTTTTCAGGCTGCAATTTCTATTCCTCAAGTTGTGGGAGCTTGAAAAATGCATTTGGTGAGTGAGTTCACTTAGGAAAGAAAATCACCGAGTCTGCCAGAGTTGTCAACAAGGAAAGTATGGCAAGACCGTAAAATATGCAGGCTCAGAGGGGAGTGGACGTATTTTAAAGGAGCAACTGAAACAAACCCCTCTGTTTCCGCTGGCTCTCTCCGGCAGCACTACCTGATACGCCCTTCCTCAGATGTTCGGGTTTCCAAAGGGCTGCCGGTGTCTGCCCCTCTCGGTCTTGCTCTCTCCCTTTTTTTTGGCTGGGACCTTGGAGCCTGGGCAAGGAGGAAGCATTTTTGCAGAGAGCAGCAGCTCACCTTGCTCTGGCGGGGTCTGACGCGCTGTCGGTGGGTGGCTGGGAGAAGGGCAAGAGTTTAAACCGGTTGCAGTTTTTAGGCAGAGGCGACACACGCTGCTGTTTCAGCTCCAATCCTTCTTCCTCTCCCTCTTTCCCCAGGGAAGGAGCAACCTGACTCTGTCCATGCCCAGCTACCTATCTTTACTGTGGCAAAATCAATTTTTTTTTTTCAAAACTAATTTTTTTCTTCAGTTTTGATGAGCTGTGGCGAAGCCCTGGCCTGGCTGTGGTCCCGGCTGCTGGAGAAGCTGGCTTTCCAGCCCGTCTCTGGTTTGCACTTTGGAGCCTGTGTCCCGGAGCCTTTCTGCATCGACCTTCTACTGTACGTGGCACATATGCATGATGGAGAAGGTATACACGCTGACTTTGTAATCTAAATAAACACTCTCCTGACTCCAGTTATGAGCCTTCTGCAAAGCTTCTGCAAGTTTTTGAGTGTTTAAAACTCCTAGCCCTGTGTGCATCCTTGGGAAAAGCTGCAGTGCCCCACGGTAGCCAGCACAAAATCCAAAGTGTGGTTTCCCGGTTAGTCCTCTGACGCGGCAAAGCAGAGCCAGGGCCAGCAGCGTTGATGTAGCTGCAAGGGCTGTGGGCACCCAGCACCGAGGATTCCTTGGGGTCCCCGTGGCTCGGGAGGTGCCGTGTCACCCCTGTGCTCCCTGCCCAGCCTTGCCACTCGGGTCACCGGCCCCGAGGCGATGCCATGGGGAAAGGGGGGGTAATGAGGCCAGGAATAAGATGGCCCCAAACTGGTACCTCTTCCAGCCAGCCGCTAAATTCCAGCTGCGGGTTTTGACACTAGCTGTCAGCTCTGATTACCTGTCATGTTTGTAACAGTGCTGTCAGGCTGGCTGAGCTGCCAGCGCTTGGAGGAATCGGGGACTTTTTATGCAGGTTTGGTGTTTTTTTTTTAGTTTTATTGATTAAATCGGCAGGGTAGTGGAGAAGTTTTTTTGCCAAATTGCAATGCAGGTTTTACTGGTGAGAAACTTTCTAGAGGAAAACGTTTTACGTTTATTTAGAAAGAAGAAGCATTAAAGAGATTAAATTTATCAGGGTCATCCAATGTAAGTCAAGAGTTCTTTTCATGTAAAATCAATGTGCGTGAATTATACGGGCAGAAATTGGAGGTTAACTCACTCATTAGTCACGTGGTGCTCAGGATAATAAATGTTTGATGCTGGAGCATTACTGATAATTTATTAGGTGTGGAGTAATAGGTAAAACAATGTGACAGGAAAGGAAGGAGAGGGGAATTAATAGGGGAAGGAAGAACGGCAGGGACTGTACAGGTCATCCACAGCTTACTGAATTTCATGTCCAAGCTCCCACTGACTTTAAAGGTATGGCGTGAGGCCATCTAACTGTGTGAACGTAGGTAGGCGAAGAGCTGGTTAATGAGAAGAGGTGTGGGAGGGAGGAGAGCCCAGGAAGGGAGGGGGCTGATGTCTGCTCCAGGGACCAGCGGTGCCTGCACCCGGCGAGTGGCTGAAGACATGACGCTTGTTTGCCTCTTGCTGGAGGGTTTCTCTGAGGGCTGGTCCTGGGTCCCACTAACATTTCCCTCCCATCAGTCTGCGCCTTCTGTTGCAGTGACATTTGTCATACTGTTGGAGCCTCTGCCTTTCAGCCAGGGTTGTTTGAAACTGGCCAAAAGCTTCTGGGGCGACGGAGGCCAGACTGGCTGGTTCGTTAAACACGCATGGCGATTGAGTGAGTTTTGTGTTATTAGGCAGTGAGGCTAAAAATGCTGATGGGATTTGTCCCAGCAGACGGCATTTCCCCTCGTCGGCCCCGGGCTGCTCCTTCCAGTGGCACAGCACAGAGAAGTCAGTCCATCAATCCTTAATGTTGCCTTTTGATGGTTTTTTTAAAATAAAATTTTATGGCTGTTATGAACCAATCTCACCGGCAGCACCCAGTTTGTGTTGTGCTGTAAAAGCATTAGAGAAGAAATGTAACGGGTTAGAGAAACAGTGACTGATTTACTGCATTGTCCTTGGCACTGAGCAATCAGCTTGGACCAGTACAACTAACCCAACCCTGCTGATAGATGCCAGTAAATGCAGTGGATTATGGACGGCCTCTCCTTTAGCAATAGTTACCAGTACTTACGTTTTGAGAAGGTATCAGCGTCTCAGATGCGAGGTGGTGTTTTGCACGTAGGAGCAAGCACTGGGCTGGGGAAGAGTAACCTCTTACGGCTTCACAGCTCCCGGGGCAAGGGAGACAACCCGGGAGGCCGCACGCAGCGTGGCAGGCACACAGAATATTTAGCATGAGGTGAGCAAGCGGAAACCCACCAGCTGGGTACGGGGTGGATTGGGTTCTGGGCAGCGTGGGGACCCTGGGACTTCTGCTGGCCGAGGGGGAGGCTGGTGAGAAGGGACCTGTGGAAGGAGGATGCAGCAGCAGCAGCAGCAGCAGCCTCGGTGCGCTGGCAGCACGAGCCTTTGAGAAGCGCCGGGAGGCTGTGGGTGAGGCGCTGGCTGGAAGAGGCTCCAGGCGGAGACCTTCCCCCCCTGCTGCACCGTCCCTGGGGCGTGCAGGGGAGCAGGGCGTCGCACCCTCCCTGCAAGGGCTCTGCTCCTCCCGCTCCCCAAAGGAGGGAACCCCCCCAGGGCCTGGCTCCTAGCTGGCAGCGCTGTGCAAACACGAGTAACTGTCTTTGGAGAGCCAATATGTGAGAGTGGGAAATTTGGAGAGTCACTGCTGGGAGAAATTTTAATATTTGGGGAAAGAGAGAGGTGAGGCTGTCTGACGGGAAATGTATCATCACAGGAGAACATGAAACTGCAATTTTGCTCTCTTGTGCAAATGGTATCCAGCAGAACTTAATATGCAACGAAGAAATCCACTTCCACTTTATCGGCCAGACTAAATCATGTTATGCACAGGAGACTTCCTTTTGCTGTGTGCCAAATAGTAATAATTCTGTGCAGACTTGTAGACAAGGAAAAAAAATAAGCCACATAAAAATACCATATGTGCCAGGCATTTTCTGTGTATTTCCTCAGAC